AAACCAAAAGCCCGTGATAACCTAACAACCGTTTCCATCCTAAATCAGAGTCATCGCTTCAATAAAAAAAAAAAAGAAAAATCGTTAATATGTATGCGAAGCTGATATTTAAGAAGCGGATTAAAATTACTTCAATGTTATCCAATTAAACGAACAGATACATTATTTCTTTTTCCTTTAACGTAGCTTTAAGTTTTCTTTTATTGTATCGACTTATTTCTTCAGACAACAGATTCTCATGTTGACAGATTATTTTACTTTTGTCTACTTTCAGTTTCGTTTTACGAAGTTCCCTTTGTTCCCTGTCAACCTTTGTACAGTCAATTCATTTATAATTTTTATTACTTGTGCGTAATATTTACAACATAGCGGTTTTTATTTCATTGCCATAATGCGTGGAGTTTTTATGTTTATCGGATTCGTGAATTTAATTAATTTTAGCTTTTTCTGAGACAGTTGTTATATTATACTTATGTACATGATATCCTCATGTAAGAAACAACATTTATTTCTTTTTTCTCTTAGTTATGACAGACGAAAGATTTGCATGACAGCAGCTAGCTATCTTGGCCTACTTCAGAAAATCAATTATGAGGCCGGCTTATATTTATCTTATTATCTGAGATATTATGGCCAGGTTCCAAAACAATACTGAAAGAATTAGGAAGAACTGTTGTTAAGAAAGACAGAAAACAAAAGAAAAAATTAAAAAGATAAATAAAGGATGTTTTATGAAGTCCTTTCGCTGATAGGGCGTTAACACCCAGTTCTGTGATTCAGTTAGATTCAAGAAAAATTATAAAAAATCTATATTGTATAAAAGTCTAAAAAAGAGACACAACACATCAGTGAAAAATTTCGATTAATATGTCAGCTTAAACATTGGGCTAAAAACAGCAGCAATAAAGATAGCAATCTCCTAATATAAAGGGAATACAGAATAGAAAAGTAGTATTAATATTTTCTAAGTTCATTTTTCTTTCTTTAAAAATATAAGTTTTAAGTATTTACCTTGTTTAATATTTTTGTTTGATACACATCCAGATACACTGATGTAGATGTTGTCAAGAGGGTTTGCAATTGTGTGTTTGGTAGGAAAAATTTGAAATTTCCTACGCCATTTATTTCGGGAATATTCTAGAAAGTTAATATAAAATTGTGAATTAGCCTCCCTCGGACAATGGCGCTTCAGTTCACTTCAAAGTACTCGGCTTGGGACATCACATACTTATCCTAGAGTTCTTTATACCTTTCAAAACAATCTGAAAAGTCATATTTCGAGACTAGCATCAGCTACCTGGTCCATTTTTCTCATTTCCTTTTCAATGACGATTTTAGCTTTAGAGAAAAAAGCCTCGAAACACATAGAGCCTAATGGAGCCAAATTTTGGCTGAGGTGGACTGATAGACGTTTTGGTATCGAAAGCGACAATAAAGGTGATTAGAGTCTAGGTGCGTTCATAATATTTTGAGTAAGGGTCGCATATAAAAAAAAAATCTCTCTTCACACAGTTGTCAATGAAACTATTTTCTGTAATTTTTCTCGGTACTACTTGCTTGAGTTTCCACACGACACGTTGTTATGTGCAACATTTCTGTTTTGATATTAGGCAACTTCATTTGTCCTTGAAGAAGAATCAAAAGACAAAGTCCTTTCAAGTGAGTATTACGTATGGAAACAGGGTTTTGGAAAATTGAAAGATGGAATTAAAACTGAATCATCAAAGTGTTCCAGATAGGCTTATAACTATTCATTTTATTCCTAAAATATTTCGCGGCCATAGAGGCTGATCCAAATGCGAATTCATTTAATATCATTTTTATTTTAAGAAACGCTAATAAATATTCATCAGGTTAATAGAAATATCTGGGTAAATTATGGAGGATGCTAAGTGACGTAATTCAATATCTAATAAACGAAAGTGAGTAAATTATGTTGTGTCATTTTTGTTCTATTTTATGCAATTAATATTTAAATTATTTTAGACTGAGATTAATTTATGTATTATATATTTTAAATAACAGGATGTTACGAATTTAAACATTTTCTTTTCATTTTTTATTGATAGTCATGTATGTTGGTTTGGGAAAGAAATATTTCTATCAGGAATGGAGATATTTGAAAAAAAACTTTTTTATTTATCTGTTAATAATTTTTATTTAGCTGTTAACTACGCTTAGAGATAGATAGATAGATAGATAGATAGATAGATAGATAGATAGATAAACTCTACAAGACTAATATGGTATATAATTGAATGGTAAAATGGATAAAAATTCTGTTTCTTCATTCGAAAGGACTTCTTCAGACTACATAATGTTTTTGTTGATGGAATCATATATATATATATATATATATATATATATATATATATATATATATATATATATATATATATATATATATATATATATATAAGGGAAACGAAATATAAACAAACGTTGGTTATAATTCTATATCGACTTTTAAGTCGATCTAGCTTTAAATTTAAATTTTAAATTTCTGTCGACCAATGTGTCTAGATGCACATCCTATTCAATCTCATCCAGTTTTCTGCCAGTTTTTGTCATTATATTAGTACTAATGCACTTCCAATGTGAAATCTACCATTCGTCCGTGCATTGAATACTGCTGTCATATCTGGGCTGGGGTTCTTCCTATATATCTCAAAATTCTTGATAAAATTCTAAGATGGGTCTATAATGTTATCAATCTCTTGTAATCTCGGCTTCTGTCACGATCTCGGTGACGGAGCTTCTCTCAGTCTTTTCTATAAATATTTTCATGGCAATTATTTTAACCTCATTGGTATCTCGACCGTATCGATTCACACGTAGTACTAGACTGGTAACTAGCTCTCATCGTTTTACTCTTGAAATAGTTAAATGTAACCGTAACTTCTTTTCTAATAGTTTTTTTTTTTTTTTTCTTACACTTCTCGCCTGTGGAAGTCTCTTCCGGCTTCTTGCTTTCCTGTCACTTCTGTTCTTCAAAACTCTAAATGCTACATCAATCGCCATCTTCTTTCTTCCTGAAACCTGTTCTTTTATTGTCCTTTCTGCACACTAACGCTTTTTCATCTTCTTTCACTCTCAGTAATCCCTTCCGTCTCAGTGGCATTATCATCTTCATTGACGAGAAACGGGTAATGTGTTTGTTTTTGTTTTTATTTTCCAGATGTACATACAATACCATTTCGTTTAAAAATTAAATCAATCAAGTGGGTACCGTTACTTTCCACACACTGTCGAAGTCATTCACGAAAGTTGTCCATAACTCATCGGGGTCATTCATGTGGAATAGTAGCTATCTCTTCTTGAATAGCATCTTTTAAATGTTCAATAGATCGAGGGCGATAAGTGTATAACTTTGATTTCATGTATCCCCACAGAAAAAAAAATCGCATGGGTTCAAATCTGGTGATCAGACCGGCCAACCGATGTCACCGAGCAATGAGATCAAATGACCCGGTCATAATGAAAGCGTGATGCTTGCCCATCCAATTCATGTTGGCAACTGAAAATGAAATGAAACAAAATGGTATTGTATGTACATTTCGTAATTAAAAGTAGGTTTTCGTTCTTTATTCCATTTCGCTTTTATTAAACCTACAAATGTGACAGATCATTTTGCGGCACTCTGTATTATGAAATCTTATTCTTAAAAGTAATAGTGAGTTCATTTTTCAAATTATATCGAAATAACATGAAGAAATGAAGGCGAGCTGAAACGAGTTTAAAGACATTAGGTTCATTAAAAGAGGAAAACAGAAAATTCATACACAAATTTTAAAAATACTCAGACGAAGACTGACGTTTAAGTTCTCATGACGACCAATCAGAAATAATTATTACTGATAAATTTTTTTTGCATGAATACGAGATCTATCCGGAAACTACCCAGTCATTCAGTATTAACAAAAAATAACATACCAAATGCTATGGCGTCTTAAATGGTCATCGCTTTCTCGATTCAGGTTCTCCAACAGCTACTTCGTGACGTTTTCTTTATTCTCGTTCACGCTCTAATAACTACTTTTCAACAACGAATGTCAAGAGTTGCAGGAGGCGAAAACGAGGCTTTATCAGTGAGGACACTAAAAGATCAGGATGATTTTTACACTTTTAATCTACTTCAGAAAAGAAAACCTTACTTTGCTTCTTTATTTTTAGTATTTTGTAAATATAAAGACTATTTTTATTTTTATTTTTTTTTTAACTTTTGTCCTATTTTTGTCCGTTTATATTTACTTTTCTTTTTTTTCTTGAAATAGTCCTTTGTTTTACAAATTAGCCTTTTGACACTTTTTTTAATTATTTGTTTATTAATGTCATGTTTTCTTGTTTGTTTTTATACTTTTTTCTTTTTTCCACTGTAGCTAAATAAGCGACGAATATGGCTTCCTTCATTTGTAAGGATGATTTTTTTATTACTCTCCGGTTTTTCTTTCTTCAGGCAATTCTCGCATTTTTAATCTGCCTTCCATTTCTCCTTAGTTTTTGCTTTCGTTCGTCTTTTCTTACGCATTTCATTTTTTCATTCATTTCCTTTCCTTTCATATCAATTTTTTCTTCGAGTTTGTCTTTTCTTCTTTATGCAAATCGTGTTTTTTGCGCCATTACTTTCTTTGGGTTTTTTTTTTCATTTCTTTCCCAAAATTTTCTCCTGCTCTTATTCTTCTTCATCCTCTTGTATCTTTTGGCTTTTATCATTATTAGTTCTTTCGTCTTTCATTTTGCCTTTTTCTTGGTTGAAATCTTTCTTTTTGCTTTTCTCTATCTGAAAACTAACTTCGCTCACTCTCTTTCTTTTCCTTTCTTTTTTCTCCATTCCATCTTCCTTTATTTCTCATTCTTCGTTTTCTTTTCGTTTCTATTTTATTTTTATTTTTTATTTTCGTAATATATGTTCTTTCTTTCTAGCTCTCTCTCTCTCTCTCTTTTTCTCTGTCTCTCTCTCTCTATCTATCCATCTATTTATCTATATATCTATCTCACTATCTATCTATATATATAAATATATATATAAACACACACACACACACACATATATATATATATATATATATATATATATATATATATATATATATATATATATATCAGGAATTAATAGATTTTTAAGTTTAATCCAACACCATTTATATTTACGGTTTTCATCAAAATTGGTATTTACCAACCGTAGATTTCAGGATATAAATATATATAAGTGAAATGCATACATTGTGTGAGATTCCACCTATGATCTCTATCCTTATATAGAATATTAATAGTAACTTGAGTTGATGATGTCAGGTTTTATTATATAATTATATAGATGTTAATCATATATTTTTTTAAGACAATATCCCATATGCCTGATTAAATTATTATTTTATTTTACAAATATAAGTTTCTATGGCCTTCATCAATCTTTCATTCACTGATTTTGCTCTTATAATACTTCGACTTTAACATTTTTTGCAGCAATTTTAAACTTCCCAGATAACATATTTGTTTTCCATTCTCAAATAGCATCTCTTTTAATGATAGGCCGTAAGTTTTCTATTAGATAATATCTAGAACCGAGGAGCGCCTTCCGTTTATATGGTGCCTTTTAAAACTTTTTGGGCAACATGAGCAATATTAAATTATGCATAATGTGAAAGAGCATTGTAATGCATGAATATCCTTTTCAATTTAAAGCTTATTTTATTGTATACTACTAAGAAATCGTCCTTTCCAAGAACTCAACAAGAATTCTCTGTATTTATCTTGATATTTTGATCAACATTGAAGTGAACAATAATTTTGCTGTCTACAATACTAGCCCAAAACATTATTCCACCTCCCCAACTCACACGTCATTTTGTTTTAGTATTTTGGTTGCTTTCATATACTTATATTTCATATATTATTTTATATTATATATTATTATATATTATGTATTTATATATATTATATATATTATAATATATATTATATATAATATATTATATTATATATTATATTACATATATTATATTATATATATTGTATCTATTATTATAATATCATATGTATATAATATATATTTATAATATTATATATATATTATATATATATATTATATATATATTATATACATATATATATACATTATTTATTATTATATTATTTTATATATTATTTTATATTTCATATATTTAGCCAAAATGCTGAATATGTTATCGCTCATCTCTTTATGCACATTCACAACATTCTACTTGTTCAAATATCTTCTTTCCGCTCAGTTCATTTTTCTTGCTTATTTTCTCGTTTAATTTCATTGTTCTCTTTGCCTGTATTTGCAGTTTCTTTATTGATTCTTTTTTTAGCTTTGTCTCGCCCTTTTCGCAATTTACAGTGTTGCTTTTCCATCACTCAAAAACTTTACAAGTTTTTCTTTTGAGCTTATATTTTTTTATAAACGGTAGTAACCTTTATACATCTGAAATTAAAAAGTAAATAGCTTATTTTTTTCAGACATAAATTAGAGTTGAGTAATAAAATGAACTAGATATTATAAGTGGCCTGCCTGTCTGCTAGGGTGGCTAGCTAATCCTGGTCTGAGAAACATGCTCAGGCTCATTTGAGTTTCTTCACACCCACAGAATGAGATAAAGCATTAATAGTAATAAATAAAATTAAATATTAACTTATTTTGTTCCTACTCTGAATTTCGCGGGAGATTACATCGACTTGTCAGTGTATTTGAGTGTTAAATTTAACAGTTAAATCTCCTGAAGAATGGATGGAAACTTTGGACAAAATAAATAAACATTTAATTTTGTTTATAAACAAATTCTTTAGATAACAGATGAAGAAAAATTCAAAGAACTTTAATTTCCTCTCATCATGGTCAAATAAATCCTTTGACCCTTTCTTCATCTCTTAACTATTGTCGCTCTAGATTTTTATTGAACATTTTCTTTACAGCTTGCCTTTCGATGTAATTTTACGTGATTGGTTTAGCGTTATGGATTTGTCTTCTCATTATTATTATTCTTTTTATTATTAAGCAAATTATATATAAAGATTTAAAACGATTCAAAATTTAAATATTTTACATTAATTATGGCTAAGTTTTTCAGAAAAGACCGCTCCAGATTTTCAAGTAAACATTTTTACGAATCAGTTTGCGTTTGACAATATCACTCGAGAAGAAGAATAAAATCGTGTTCATTTTATATCTCCATTGGTTATGACTAAACTCTAAGAAGAGAGTAAATGAAAAATCTTTCTAAACAATGTGGATATATTAGACTACATTTCTTTTATCGTCTAATTTATCGCGTTCAGGCTTTTAGATTTAACAAATACAAGTCCTTATATAATAATGCTACACTTTCATGAATGTCTACCATTGGAACGTATGTTTATTTTTTATACAATATCCTTTATTGTAATATTTCTTTTTATCCTATGTGTTTGTTTGTTGCTTTAATTTTTATTGTGGCTTTTTTGTTATTTTTTATGTTTGTTTTTATTGTTTCGGTTTTT